CTGATCTCAATGCTTTCAAAAATTTAGGAATTATATCAAGTTGAGAAACCTTTTGAAACCAAACTAAGTTCGTTTGCGAAGTGAGTTGATTTTTTGGTTATTTTAGACTAGGGTTAAAAAGCCTCATTTGAGATAGACTTTTTGATTTTTTTGACTTTTTATGAGAGAAAGAATGTAATGATTATGAATTAGATGTAACATTTTGTCTTATTAAACTAAAAAACCCATTTTATCTTTTTGTGACTAAAATAGCTTCAAACCCAACTCAACCCAACTCAACCCAAGTTGCCAAAGAAAGGCTAAAAACAACGGTTCAATCCTTGTTTAGATCCACTGCTCTAGTATTCTCGACGAAAAACTCATCACTTTATTTAAACTATAAGAAAACTTGAAGGGTCAATCACGTCACCATGTTTCTTATTTTATTAATTCGAATTATTTATTTTGTAAATTTTCAATATATATCATTCATAGAAAAAATTTAAAATAATTTTAAGATTTTTATCTTATTGCCTTTCTCTCTCGAAAAAAAAAATGAACACATGCTTTTAAAAATAAGATATTCAAGATAAATATATGTTTTGAAACTTGTTTAGGATATATATATATATATATATATTTGCGAATCAACATTATTATAAACTTGGCAAATGACTTGGATGTATTGTTCAAGTCTAGATGTCAACATTCACGCCAATATATCGGGTAATCCACTGATACTCTTGTTCCTTCTTGTTAAAGTTCACATCAAGCTTGAAAATGTAATTGAAATATATTAATAAGGCAAAGTTTGGCTACTACAAAATAATTTATTTTTTTATTTTTTTATCTTTTTTTCATCACATCACCTCTCTACTTTTCTGCACATCTTTTCGTAAAAAGACAAAAAATGCACTTATTTGGGTCATCCTAAACAACCCTTAAGTATGTGTTTTGTATGTATTAAAAGAGTGCTTTTTTATATACATATATTTATTTGGGTCATAACAATTAACATTTCCTCTTTATTTTTCTAATCACTTTCTCTATTTTTTCACACATTTTTTTTATTTCTTTATTTTTTTTTATAAAAAGTCAAAAAATTATACTTTACTTAAAAATCTCAAACCAAAGTTTTCGTTTGGCATTAGCTTTTTTTAGTTAGTTTTTTTGTGTTAGAATTTTTTTAGCTTCTTTGGGTTTGTCTTTTTTGATTTTTTTAATTTTTATAAGAGAAAAAGTATAATAATTGTAATTTAAATGTGATATTTTATCTTATTGACTTATGTAGTCAATTTTGTCCTTTGATACTTTTTTAGTCAAAAATTTAAAATCAAACAAAACTTTAAATTTTGCATAAATATTCTACTAAGTTTTAATATAAATATTTTGTAAACATTCACATTCGTGTATGCATTTTGAAATTTCATATTATTGTGAACTTGACAAATAATTTAAATGCAGTGCTTAAGACGAGTGTAAACATTCACACTAATATTGACGTTGTAGTGCTTTGAAAAGATGGTAAAAAATTAATTTTTTAATTTTTTTTTTGTGTAAAAAAATAAAGAAGTGATGTGATTTAAAAAAAACTAAAAAGCTAAAAAAAGCTAAAAATTAATCTTCTCAAATTGTTCCATTGTTGATATAGTTTTTTTTTATTAATTTCTTAAAACACCACATTATCATTAGTATTAATAATGTTCATAAAAAAAACATAAAAATATCAAATATGCGATTAAAAATAAAAATTAATGGGATATAAAAATATTCAAAGGACATATTGAATTACATATCAATAAAAATGAATTTATTACGATCCGAAAGTGGTCATAGGGCTATTTTGAGAAGTTGGCTTTTAGCCATTTTTTTTGGTTTGTAGCAAAAGCTAAAAGTTGGCTTTTTTATCTTTTTTTTTTCATTTGGGAAGTTGGTTTTTAGCTAACGATGAAATTATAATTTTACCCTCATGGGTCAAAATTTGTTGTATAGGTGAAGTTGTAAATATTTTAAATAAATGGGAGTAGTTTGGTCATTTTATTATGATTTGACATCATAAACAAACATTAATCAAAAAATTCAAAAATCATTTTTTACTAACTTCCCAAATCATTTGTTTAAAAAAGCCAAAAACTTAATTAAAAGTCAAAAAATCACTTTTTACAATCTACCCAAAATAATAGTCTGCCAAGAGGGCTTCTAAATTCTCCTAAAATTCATATATTAGTATAATATTTATGTGAAGTAATAAATAAATTACGATAAAAAAAAATGATGAGAAAAGATGTTGATTCTAGTATTATTGTTATTTCAATAAATAATAAAAAAAAAAGTTTAGCATTGTCAGAAAAGTTTAGCCAGAATGGTTCATTATCCGATTCCAGCCCACCTTAAAGATTGATTGGACCGTCTGCAAGTACTGACGTATATGATGTGACCAGTCATACAATTTTCAATTACACTATTTCATCCTTCTTAGAATAATACATTAAGTTTGGTAAGACTTTCTAATTATAATTTGAGAATATGGATTGTATTTTAAGTTTATGTATTTTGAAATTATGATTTAACTTAAGTGTAAAAAATTTGTTTAGTTATAATTTTTGAATGGAGAGTTGAATTAAGTTTTGAATTGAGTATGAAATTGAGTTTTGAAAGTTTGATTTGATCTGTAAAATAAGAAAATTAGTATGAATTTTAGAAAAAAAAATTTAAAACTTAATTCAAATTGTTATAATAGTCTTTTGGAGGAATTCAAATTTTTTGATAGCATAATTATTATACTTAAAAAAAATGATTTTTTAAAATTATCATTTGATAGTATATTTTTTTAGAAAATATCAGTATCATAATTATACTTTTTCGATTATTAATGAATTTAAGAGAATGGTAAAATAAGAAATTTATATTATTTTTGTACTCGATTTTTAAAAAATGACAATATTTTGAGATAATGAAAAATAAAATAAGAGAATAATATTTTAGGACGGGGAGAGTATTTTAAATTGATGGTGCTACATGTTCAATTAATATACTAACTAATGTATCAATATTAATTATAATTTTATTATTGACTATATTTATTATACAAATTATAAATACTAAAAATTTCTTAAATTATATCAAATTATCAATTAATATATTAATTAATACATTAATTAACTTTGTTGATTTTAAATTGGTCTCTACTAGCATTACTGTTTGTTCAAACGGTGTCCGGCTGCTTATGACATAGATGCCACGTGGGCGGAGACCAGAACCTCCAATCAAAGTAACGTTGCCACGTGAGAATCCAAGAAATGAACAATTAGAGGTTGTTTGGGATGACCTAAATAAGTGTATTTTTTATCTTTTTATGAAATGATGTGTAGAAAAGTAAAGAAGTGATGTGATGAAAAAAAGATAAAAAGATAAAAAGATGAATTATTTGAGGTATGCCAAACTTGGCCTTAAGCTAGGTTTGCCGTCTCTTAAAAAAAATTAAAAAATTAAAAAGTTACTATTTTATTAAAATCACATCATTTTGTTTAAGTTAAATCACTTTTTTATCATATCATTTCAAACTCAATCCATATTTTATAAAAAGTCAAAAAATACACTTATTTAGATCATCCCAAACAACTCCTTAGTTTGTTGGTTTTGATTTTCAGTAAATATTTTTCAAAATATTTTATTTTTTAATTTTTTGTATTTTTGTATTTTTAATAATTTTATTAATATTTTAAGAATTTTTAAAATTTTTAAACACACTTAACATAAATACACTTAAAAAGTATAATATTTGTAATTTTGTTTTTAAAAAATTTACTAAATACCAAGAATATAAAAAATACAAAAATTCAGTACTTTTTTTTTGTATTTTTGTATATTTATGAATTTTTTAAAATATCTTTTCATAAATATTTTACTATTTAGATACATCTAAGTAAGGTGCATTTAAAAAAATTACTTAAATTTTTAAAAAATATTCACTAAAAACAAAAAAAAAATACAAAAAACAAAAAATGAAATTTTAAAAAAACTGAAACCAAACACATTGAATAATGTTCACACATTGAATAATGTTCACTCTATTCAGTTTTAATTTTCAAAATTCACTTTTAAAAAAATTCTACTATTTCATTTTTCGTATTTTTTTTAATTTTTACAGAATTGTTTTAATATTTCAATTAATTTTTTTTAATTTTTAGACATACCTAACATAAATACACTTAAAAGTATAATATTTTAAAAAAATCTTTAAAAAATTCATCAAACACCAAAAAATGTAAAAAAAATATACAAAAATTCAGTACATTTTTCATATTTTTGTGTATTTATTAAAATTTTAATATAGTTTACTATTTAAATACATCTAAATAAGGTGCATTTAAAAAAGTAAAAAAATTACTTAAAATTTTTAAAATATTCAATAAATAAAAAAAATGACAAACAAAAAATTTAATTTTCAGAAAATTGAAACCAAACAAACTGATTAGTTGTTTGGCAAAAAAAAATTTAATAGTTGATTTTTTTTAATTAAGACTATTTTTAATTTAGAATTTAAAATTTTATTTTGATTAATTTTTTTGATTTTTTTAATTTTGTGAGAAAAAAATAAAATAAAATAATTATAATTATGATTTAAATAAAATATTTTATTTTATTTTAAATATAATATTTCATTTTATTAATTTTTTAATTTATTTTTATATTTTAATAATTATTTTGACTTCAATTGACTTTGCTAAACGGAGTTTTAGGCTATGTTTGACATGTGATTTTGGAGCTATTTTAATAACAAAAAATAAAATAGGTTAAGATATCAATAAGATAAATTGTTACATCCAAATCATAATTACTTCACTTTTTTCTCTCAAAAAAATCAAAACAATCTATCCCAAATATAAGACAACATAAGACAGCTACATTTCCCCTTTTCCTCACCAAATCTTTGAACCAAACACAAGACAAACTTACCAATCATCTATTTTTCAAAGAAAGCTCTTATGAAGAAGGGGGAGGGTGGATTGGGCAGTGCATTAAAGCTACTATTCCAAACTAGTCATTGATTCAATTAAAGTAAAAACTGAGAATTAATAACACATCCAGACAAAAGTAGCTATTAAGTCAATATGGATAACCAAGCCCAAAGTAGCCATTAAGTCTATGGAAAACCATACTCAAATAATACAATGAGCTCAACAAATATTCCCAGACCTAGTTACACCCAATGCACATATGCATTATAGAGTATTCTTTTTCCTTCTTGTGGAAGGTTTCTCAGTTTGTAGTTTCAGTTCCGTGGAGTTGTTTGATTGATCAGTTTGAGGTTCTTCAGGCTGAGTACAGTGCAAGAATTTCTTGCTGGAACCAACATGATTGCAAAATAGCTTCAGCATCTTTCTCCCCCTCATCCATTTAAGCATCGTCTTCATGTGTGTTTTGCTACTCAATCCGCTACTACCAGCTTCCTATAATTTAAAAAGGAAATTAAAAAATCTATGATCAGTTTTCCCCCGTTAAAAAAAGAAAACAATAAAGAGCTAGCACAGAAGCAAAATATTTAAGCAGTAACCAGTCATCCCTTTTATTTGGTTATACCCACCCTTTTGGTTTTTCAAAGATGGTCCAAAGCTGCACAATAAAGCCTATGGAAATGGTTTATACAACAGACACGAGACAAGGAAATAATATAACATGGATAAACCAGTACAACAAAACCTAAGAGTAGGACAACAACACAATGAGGACATGACAATATACAAATCTTGTTTTGGGAGGGGAGAAGTAATATGCTGTTGAACAATTCTACTTTTTTCAGCAAGCAAAACAAGACTAACACATAACTATGAATAGTTATTGAACGGGTAAATTACATCATTGGTCCCTTTAGTTTGAACAAAATTTCATTTTGGTCCTTTTAGTTTTAAGTTGAACAATTTGATTCTTACACTTATAATTTTGTTGCAATCTGGTCCCTCCATCACGTGTTGTTAACCTTTTGAATAGAAAAAAATCATGTGTAAAACTAGAGGGACCACAGTAAAAATCAAAACAAACTAGGGGGGAGTATTTAGGTTATTTAGTCCACAAAGCACAAACCACAGGGGATTAAGTGGTTATTTCCAAACAGAAAGCTTATGTGCACAGGAGGTAAAGTAAAATTTTCCAAAAAAAATAAAAGAGATTAAACAATCATACTGAATACAGTGAACATTTCTACATAAAAATATATATAAAAGCAAATAGTATGAAGGAATTAAAGAATTAAATGGTGAAACCTGCTTCCATAGTTCTTCAGCCTCCTTTGTACGACCACGCATTTTTGCCCGATCAGAGATTGCTATAGCCCAATTATAATAAGCCTGCCATTTAATGACATTAAAGTACAGAAGTAAAATGAGGTAGATTCATTTTCTGAAACAATAAAAAGAAAAAACTTATTTATGGTATCCAAGTCTAATGTGAAGTAAGCAAGCCACGGCGTCTCTACATTTCAAAATAACTATGCAGTGACCTTTCTCCCAAGTGGTTTCTAATCTTGCACACACACATTTTTCTCCATCACACAACAAAATTTATGTCTACTAGTTCCTTCCCACTTTGATTGCTTCCTTTTTTTGGTCTCATAAGTCATAATAGTTCTCCACTTTGAAAAATAAAATGCAAATTGTTGGCTTTCCTGAAATATCCTTTTGGAAGAGTAGTTTCCAAAACTTCCCCAACAAGCTAACAATATGATTTTTTTTAGCATTCAACAGGTTAATGAAAATAAGATATCTGAATACATACATCATGAAGTGTAGGGCAAAGGTGAGTGGCCTCATCATACTTTTTGCATGCCTCTTCAAGCAAATCATCTTTCGAAGGTGAACTAGAATCCGGACTAACATTATCCGCACTTTCCTGCATAAAAAAGTTAAAAAATATAGACAGGGTAATTTGCACTTGATACGTTTCTAAATTAATACAATATGTGGAGTCCCTAGAATAGTGATACTAATTTTAGATCTGTGAGTTTAATTAAAAAAACGCATGGATGGGAAAACCATTGAAACCTTGAATATTTGGATGAAAGTGATGGGACCATCTCTCTACTTTTCTGTTCATTATTGCAATCTAATATGGATAACAAGAAACTTCTGTAGCAATTTGACTTATCATTTTCTGGTAGAAAATTGCACATGATTTGAAAGCCGAAAATGGATGTACAAAAAGGGGAAAAAAAAAGAAAAGAAGACATTACAAATGACAAAAGGGTAAATTGAGAAAATAAAATGCAAATTAGTGAAACAAGATTGGAAGTACCCAAACACAATGTATCATAGAAATAACCATAATGCAGCTTTTCTTATTAAAAAATTGTTTGTTTATGGCTCCATACGACTACCGTAATGCAGCTGGTCTAACCAAAAAAAAATTTATTTGTTTACTGGTTCCATATGATTACCGAGTGGGTAAATATTGAACAAGCAACTGTTTAATTTCTAAAATAATGAATTACTTCTTGTAGTTGGATTCCACAACAGAAATCTAATTGTAAAGACATTCCAATCTAGCTAATACAGTGTCTTACCTCCAAACTATCCTCTTTGATCCACTAGCCTGGATCCTTCACAACAGTTAAAGAAATTTGGCAAAGCAATTTGCGTAAAATTAACCATGATGAAGAATTTTTGTTTAATTGTTATAAGTAACCAACAATAATGGCAATCCCATGCTCCTAGTATATTCAATTTTCAAGTTAACATGTATGAGCGAGATAGACAGAGGCAGATATAACCTTGGCGTGGTTCCAAGTGTTGGAGACAGTGAGAGGGCCGTGTTGCTTGATAACCTGATAGAGACCTTGAGCTATGGAGGCGGCCTCTTGGGGGGGTACCTTCGGGTTGATCTTCCTCACATTTGGTGCACATTTCCTACAGAAGTACCTCACAAAGGCTGTTTTAGCTCCTCCACCAGTTTGCTTAATCTTCTTGGACCCTCCTCTCACAATCAACTGCGAGCACAAACCAATCATCACAAATCCATATAGAGAGAAAGATTTAGAGAGAGAGAGAGAGAGAGAGAATAGGGACCATTCTTGAAGCTGTTGGTCACAGGCTTTATCGCAGGCTGATGGACCGCCTTGAGGGGTTTGAAAGCTCTCTTCGAAAATTGTACCCGAAAGGGATCGATTTTCGGCTCTTCTTTCTGATGATGTGGAAAGATCGATAGCAGTTTGCTTATGAAAATATTTGGCGATGGAATCGGAATCATTTGATCCTATAAGTTGAAAAATTACGTAATTACCCTTAATGTTTATATTTTGTTGACAACCGACTTATGAACCGGTTGAGCGTGGCTGCTAGGCCAGTGAGATGTTGTACTTCTTTGACTGTGTTGGGCCTCTCAAGATCTTGGATGGCCTTGATCTAAGAGGGATCAGCTTCTATACCATGGTTGGTCACTAGAAAGCCCAGGAATTTTCCTGATCCGGCGCCGAATGCGCACTTAGATGCGTTTAGACGCAACTTGTGGGACTTCAAAATTTGAAACATTTTATCTAGGTCCCTGAGATGGTCCTTCTCATCTTTGCTTTTGACCACCATGTCATCTATGTAAGCCTCCATTGTTCTGCCTAACAATGGTTCAAATATTTTGGTGACCATCTGTTGGAATGTAGCCCCTGCATTTTTTAGGCCGAAGGGCATGGCCTTGTAACAGTATAGTCCTCTAGGTATTGTAAATGACGTGACCTCCTGGTCCGGTTTGTACATAGCGCTCTGATGGTAACCCCGATACGCATCAACGAAGCTAAGTCAGTTATGCCTTGCTGTCAGGTCCACCAGTTGGTCTATCTGTGGTAGGGGAAAACTGTCTTTTGGGCATGCTTTGTTAACTATTTTGTAGTCCATGCAAACGCGCCATTTGCCATTCTTCTTTGGCACTACTACAGTGTTGGAGATCCGCCTGGGATAGTGTACTTCTTTGATGGCTCCTGCCTCCAACAAGTTTCCTACTTCTTCTATCACTATCTCTACATGATAGAGTGCTGATCGGCGAGTTTGTTGAATAATTGGTCTGGCAGTTGGATGGACATTAAGTTGATGGCAGATGAAATTTAGGTCAATGCCAGGCATGTCGTATGGTGTCTAGGAAAACATTTCAATGTTAGAGGTTAAGAATTCCATGACCTCTATTCTCTCAGTGCTGGACAAAGATGAGTCGAGCAAAAAGAACTTTTCTGGGTTCTTTTCATCTATTCTTACCTCTACCAAGTCTTCTATTGCCTTCTGTTCGGCTGCTTTGCCGACATCTGCAAATAATTCGTTGTTTTCTGGCTCTTCCACCATCTGTACAAACCCTTTTGTAGCACGGCTGCTATTTACCGTGACAAAACATTGTTTTGACATGATTTGGTCTCCTAAGACTTCTTCGATCACTCCGGTTTTGTTGGGGAACCATAATGCCTGATGGTAGGTTAAAGCCACCGAACGCATGGCATGCAGCCATGCTCTTTTCAAGATTATGTTGTAAGTGGAAGGAACCTTTAATATCCAAAACTCCACCTGTTTTGTCATTGTTCCTGCCTTGACTGGCAGAATTATCTTGCCCACTGGCCATTCTGGCATTGAGTTGAAACCGACGAGGGGAGATGTTGCAGGCACCAAGTCCTTGTCCTCCAGTTTTAGTTGCTTGAAGGTCTCGTAGTATGTTATCTCGCATGAGTTTCCTTGGTCAATCAGAATCCGTTTGATGTCGAAATTCTTGATGCGCAAAGTGACCATCAGTGCGTCATTGTGAGGGCAATGTAGCCTTGTTAGATCCCTGTTTGAGAAGGATATGACGTTCGTTCCCTCCGTTTTTCCCCTTTTGATGGTAGGTTGTGCACTTAGTACCTCCCTTAAGTGCTTAGCCTTTTTGATCATCCCTTTAAGCTCACATATCCGCTCAGGTTTGACGATCCCGTGTATAACGTTAATTATGCCTTGAGGTGGGTCGTCGATCGGCATCTGATTCGGCCTGCTATGGTCCTGGGGGGGTTGGTTGTGTTCCCCCTTCTATATACTGGTCTAGGTGACCAGCGGCCACCAACTCCTCCAGATATTGTCTCAATGGTGTGCAATTTTCAGTTCGGTGCCCCTTTTCATCATGGAAGGTGCAACGGTACCTTTCACTGTAACCTTTTTGTGCTTCTCCCAACTTGGCTGGCCGCCGAACGAAGGGTTGATCACTTATCTCGCTAAGAATCCGGTAGATAGGCTTGTTGAATACTGTGGTAATGGCAGTACGGACTCTCAACTTCCTTGTTTGGGGGTCCTCTCTGTTGGCTCGTCTGCCTCGCCCATTCTTGCTTGGCTGTTTTACCGTGTTGACTTTTGTTGCAGCCTTTTTATCTGGTATCGCTGTTGTGCCAGATTTTGCTTTAGCGCGGGTGTTATCTTCTTCTACCCGGATATGTTGATGCATTCTCTCCATTAGGGCCTCCATCGTGAGGGGTGGTATCATCGTCATTGAATCCCTCAACTTGTTACCAACCGGTAAACCTCGTTTATATTGTGCGATAGCGAGATTTGTAGGGCAATCCCCAAACTAGTTGAAAGTCTTCCAATATTGACTGTTGTAAGACTTCAATGTTTCCTTCTCGCCCATGTCAATGGAGAGTAGCTGGTCAATGTCTACTGGTGTCTTGGTATTCGTTCTAAATCTAGTCACAAATGCTTCTGCCAACTGCACCCATGAGGCTATGTTGCCTTCTGGTAGCCTTTCGAACCATGTTAGACCTAGGTCGCCAAGGCTGGAAGGAAACATGATACACATTAGAGCCTCGTTTCGCTGGTATACCGCTATAACCTGGTGAAAGCGGCTTAAGTGCATGTAGGGGTCTGACTTCCCCTCATAAGTGGTGAATTTGGGCTGGTGGAAGCCTGAGGGTAGTGGTGCATTCTCAATTGCCCGAACGAACAGCGAGCTCTGTAACCTTGCTAATACTTTATCTGTTGGTTCGTAAGCAAGGCGCGGCATTGGCATCCCTACCTTAACACTCCGGTGCGTCCTAGGGGCTAATCGATGTAGGGCTGAAACTTTGCAAGGGTCACGAGCCCTGGTGTCCTCTTTCCATCGGGCCCTCTCCTCTAGCACTGTTTGCAGGTCCGCTGACCTAGGCAACTTCGTGTGCCTAGATGTTGTTTGGTACGTGTGCGAGGGTCGATAACTGTTTCCTTCTGTATACGACCTTTCAGTCCTCATTCTCTCAGATCTGGAGTAACGAGTCCTGGAAGTCCTTGATTGAGTGTCGCCAGTTCTGAGGCTCCTACTTTCTGCTTGTGATGGTGTGACTTGTCTGTCACGATCTTCCGAGTGGTAAGAGAGCGTGTTGCCTTTGCGCCATTCTTCCGTCGCCACCCATTTTTCCTTTATCTGGCGCTTCATAGTCTCCATGTCTGTCGTCATCCTCCTCATTAATTCATCTTACTCCTTTACGCGATCCTCTAGAACTTGAGGATCCAACCTCTGCCTCTGCCTTTCAGGACTTTGAGAGCGACGAGGACTGGAGCCCCGTCTCTCCCGTGTGTCCCTCCGGGAGTTCCGTCGCTGGGGTTCTAATTCTGCAATGGGTGGGATAGAAGGTAAACCTTCGAGCCTCCTGCCCCCCTCAGGGGTTTGCCCATCAATAGCAGATTGCGACAAATCTTCATTGTGCACCATTGATTTCAACTAATGAGGAAAACTTGATCAAAAGGTCTTGTTCCTTGTGTCAACTTCCCACAGACGGTGTGAATTGTACGAGCACAAAATAATCTTTTCGTATAATCCTGTTGATCAAGTTTGCACTCCTCCAAACGTCGTCGCTTTACTACCTCAAAACACAAACGTGAGCTAGCCGGCGGGTGTGTGTCGGAAACCTCTCCGATGCCTAAGTCAGCAAATAAATAATAGGCACAAAAGCTCTGTGTATTTGTGAGTAAGAATGGTGATACTTGTACATAGGTCCTGCTATGAGCATTTATAGATTTTGCCTGGCACAATCCTAGTAGGTTTCTAACTCTCTTTATAAGAGTCCTCATAGGAATCACACTCCTAGTGAAGAGTGTCTATCTTGATAACACTCCACTTACTACCAACCAAGTAAAATAGTTTTCTCCTTTGTCTAAGCTGGTGCAACTTAACTGAGCTTGCTTATTTCGGTCATGCTCTCAACTAAGCAATGATGTAGATGGCATTCGACCGAGCTACACCTAGCTCGGCCTTCCTTCTTACAAATACCTCAGCCAGCCACCAGGCCTAGTCTTTAGGTAGCTCGGTCAAACCTCTCTCCCCAGTTTGGTACCTAGACAACATGGGACCGAGCTACTTGAAGCCCATACCTCGGCCCTTAGTCCGGCCCAAAACAGAGATTAAAGGATCGTAGCTCGGCCCAATTTTTCTTTATAAATTATCCTCTCAACAAGAAACGTGAAGTCCAAAAAGAAATAAAACCCAAACATGTGTCATACCATTAAACAGTAAAAGCAGTCTATTTGTCAGGTTTGCATCATTTAAATTTACACCGAAAGCCTTCTTCTTTAGAAGCTCCTCTCCTCTCTTAACAACAGCCTCTTGACTTCAACAAAAGAACCATTAAACATGATGTCAAAATCCACAAATGAGACTTATGGGTGAAATTAAAAATTAAATTAAACATTGTACAACAAGAAAGTAACGTATACCAGTCTGTACAAGCAGCAATATAGAGGGGATATACAACTTCAGGTGCCAGCTCCATCGCTTCAATAATAGTCAGGATCCCTAACTAAAGATTGGAAATTAGGGAAAGTAGGAAAAAAAAATATTTTAGATTTTTTTTCCCATGAAAAAAGCCAAGAAAGTTCCTTTAAAAAAATCTTGGAATCATTATGCTAACCATCTAAACTCAGACTAGGATTATCTTAACCTTCCACTGATTTCACCTTTCTAATTAAAAGTATGTCACTTTTCAACAGTTGTTTTGGGCTTACACAGTTGCATTGGGTAACTAAAAGCCCAGATGAGCATCTTCCACTGCAAAAAAAATAAATAAAGTGACTCCTTTATTAAGCAATGCATGAATAAAAATGTTTAAAGATCAATGTAATAAATAAATTTGATTCCAGACCCTTGAGATGGTGGTTATAAAACAGTATGGAGGCAAAATTCAAGAAAGATCTCACTGTCCGGCGAGCCATATATTACTCTATATTTGTAGCAACTTCATCAGTAATTTGAGTTGAATGACAATCTCCAATCATCCGAAATGAAAGCAGGCTTGTCAACAACAAAAGTGATGGTTGGGGAATAGGGA